ATAAGAAATGGACATTTAACAAGGAAAGAGTCCTCCCTCTGTGTCCTGGAGGAAGCGGACATTGACTCAAATCGGGGTGAAGAAAAGTCGAAGTTCATTCTACACCGTGACTACCCCATTGCTGAGGGGTTGAGTCTCCCATCCTGGGGTTTTCAGTGGGAGGGGTGTCCTGCAAAGGGGTCTGAGATGGGCTGGGGGCGGAGTTCGGACATCAGGCCCATGGGGTGGGGGGGGCAGCCACACAGACTTCGGAGAGACCTGGGGGCCAGGGCCAGGAGGGAGCGAGTGGGGTGGGCCGGGGTGTCTGGGCAATCGCTCAGGCTGACGTGGGGCAGCTGAGAGGACTTGGGGAGGGGTCACCGCAGTGGAGGGGGCTTTCTTAATTGAGTCCAGCTGCCTCTGGCCCTTTGCTGAGGGCCCGCAGGCTGAGTCCGCAGTGCACAGACCTGGACGCTGAGGCGAGACATTAAGGACTACAGGTCAGAAGAGGAAGGGGGCCAGACAGGAGTTTCCTCACCAAGGTGCAGGTTCCTCTTTGCATATAAATGGGACTGAGGGCCCTCCCTGGTCAGCAACGTGTTAAAGAGCAGCTCTATGAAGCTGTCCGCAGCCACTGCAGCACAAGTTCGATCCCCCACCGGGGAGCTGACCCACAGGGCACTCAACAGACCTCTCCTGTCACTCTCCTGCTCCCTTCAGCAGTGTATTTCAGTCAACCTGTCTGTTCTGCCCCCCCACTCTGTCTCTGGGGAATCCTCCCACCCCCTGCACCTCTGGCCTGTACCCCAATTCTTGTGTGCATGAATAAATCTTAAAAAAAAAGGAGGGGGGAGCTGAGTCAGAGGAGGGATCCTCAGACCTGCACATCAGGGTCTCTGCAGTGGCTAAAGCACCCAGGTGACTCCAGCGGGCAGCTGGACCCCAAGGCCCCTCCAGCCCAGGCCCCTGCCGGGCCAGGTCACGGCTTCCCTTCCCTGCTTCTACCTAGCGGCCGGTGTCCCACGCCCCGCAGCCGGATGTAAGGTTGTCATTCACCTTCTGCTGGAACAGGGATGTGGCCCGAGGCCAGGTAGACCAGCCACAGCTGACTGGGGAGCAGGACAGTGCTCACCCACTGCCCAGAGCAGTGGGTGATTCACATCCTGATTTAGAGATGCAAAGGAATCGTAAAGCATTTGAAAGTGGACTTGTGAGGTAGGAATGGAGAAAGGACAAGAGTGTTGCTCTGTACGAGCTTTGACTGGTTTATTTGTGTGCTTTACTTCACTAACAATAGCAGTGGATGAAAAACCACCACCAATATAAGGAAACTGCCGCCTGGCACTGGGGAAGCTCATGGCTGATGCCCAGATGGGAACTCGGGCACTGATTCCATTGAGCATCTCTGTCAAAAATACCCAGTCACAGCCTCTGGCCTGGGCACGAGCCTGCTCCTGGTTGCTCCCTCCACACCCACCCAGATGGCCAGAGCCCACAAGATCACCAGTCAGGTGCCCAGTGACGAGGGCTGGTGCCTCAGGAACTGGGGCAACAATTGCTCACCCAAAGATGACTCAGGCAGGAAGGGGGAATCTAAGGGGGATGGAAGGGAGTGGCTGTGTCCTCACTCCAACCTTAGCCTTCAGGATTGTGTGTTTTAGCAAATAAAAATACCAGATGCTCAGTGCAATTTGAATTTCAGATTCACAATGGATATTTTTTTTAAGATTTGTTTATTTCTGCATCCAAGAACTGGGGTGCAGGCCAGAGGTGCGGGGATGAGAGGACTCACCAGAGACAGAGTGGGAAGAACAGGCAGACTGACAAAGTTCACTGCTGAGGGGAGCAGGAGAGGTCAGGAGAGGTCTGCCGCGCCAGGTGGGTCAGCTTCCTGGCCAGCGGGGACTGAATGCACGCTGTAGTGGCTGACCGAGCTTAAGAGCTGTCTTTAACCCCTGTGCCAACAGGGAAGCCCCCACAATGGATAATTTTTCAATTTACTATGTCTCAAGTATTGCACGGGACATACTTACACTAAAAACAGATCATCTCTGATCTGAAATCTACATTTAACGGGGGACCCTGTTTTACCTAGCATCCAAGATCCCAGGAGCAATGGTTCCCACCCAGGGCCCCACCCTGGGGCAAGTATGACTTTTCAGCGGGCAGAACAGTACATTGGAAAGGTGAAAACTCTGCAGGGGTGACTGAAAGAATCAGTTAGCAGCTGTGAGAAATGGAAGGAGGAAGCGAAAGAAGCTCCCCACCCCATGTAGGCAGAAGGTGCACCCAGGCCGTGCCTTACCAGCTCCTGTGGAAACTCTTGTCACGATGGTGCCTGAAATCTAGCACAGGGCCTCTGGGGTCCAGACCAGCTGGGGCTTCAGCAGGGACAGAAACCAGAAAGAACATATTTATAACTTCTTAAGCAAGGTGGGGAGGGAAGCAGAAGCCACAAAGGGTAAGACTGATTGCTAGATTTCAGCTGACACAACAGCACTGCTGACCATGAAAGGTGCCATAAATAAAGATAAAGGACACATGACAGATTGGGGGGGGGACATCTGCAATACGTATGCTATCCACACTCCATAAAGATTTCCCCATCATTCAACAAGAAAAAGACACGCTGGAAGAAAAATGAACAAAGGGCAGTGCAGTGAGATGGCTCGTTTAGCAGTCAACTTGGAGTGTTTTTGGGAGGAGAGGAGCACCTGGGTTGGCTCAAGGAAGCTGTGCCCTATGTTGTCCTCGTTCAACCCGTTGAAGACCTGAAGAGAATAAAGTAACCCGCCTCTCCAGGCAGCAGGAAGCTTTCCAATAACTGCATCTGGTCTTCATAATCTCTGGCCCCTGGGTCTCCAGCCTGCCAGTTTACACTGCAGATTTTGGACTTGCTAGACTTAAAGCGATTGCTTCTAGAAACTTCGACACACACACACACACACCCAACCCAACTCCCCCTCCCCCTTCTATGATCTTCTGTTGCTGGGAAATCAGATGACAGCATTAGTTTAAAAATATACAAATGAGAGGGAAGAGGCTTTGAGGCTTTGCATGAAGAAAACGACAAGGTCTTTCAGAGAAAGTCTGTGACCCTCTGTGACAGCTGCGTCCAGAACACGCCTGTGCTGTGGGGCTGTGCACTGGAAGGAAAGTCTCTGCTCACTTGTAGTGTCTCCCAGAGTTGTGACCCTCCCAGAATGTCTCCAGACATTACCAAATGTCCCAGCTGGCCAAGTGACCCCTATTTAAGAATCGCTGAGTTAAGGATTTTGTGATACTTGTTTCAATTACTCGAGTTGTTCCCAACCCCGTTCTGTGTCATTGTGATTAGTAGGTTCATGTACTGACATTTCATAAAAATTACATTGTGTGGGGCCTCCCTGATGGTGAAGGGTACGGTACAGTCACAGCCCTGTGAAGCTGACCACAGCCATTGCAGCACCAGTTCAATGCCCCGCCAGGGAGCTGACCCACATGGTGCAGGCCTCTCCTGACCTGCCCACGGCTCCCCTCGCAGTGCATTTCAGTGCCTCTGCCTGTTCTGCTCCCCACTCTCTCTGGTGAATCCTCTCACACGCACCCACCACACCTCTGGGCTGTACCTCAGCTCTTGAATGCATAAATAAGTAATGCTTTCAAAAATCACATTGCCCGTGTGACCAACAAGAGCATCCTCATTGTAGGAAGGAGATGACCTGTCTCGGGGTGCAGAACAGCCCGATTCTCAGTGGGAGCCTTATCCACTCTTGGACCCTGAGCCGGCGCTCTGACACACAGTTCTCCAATCCTGCCAGCCAGACTCCCCACCTTGAGTTTGCTTATCTGCCCCGGAGCCACCCTTCAGCCTCAGCCTGAGCCTCAGCGCAAACTCTCCGCTGGGCCGCGGTGAGCGCTGACCGCTCGGCACAAGCAAGTTGGACGGAGGCCCCGCACCAGGCCTTCTCTGGCATCTCCTTTCATCCTTCATTTCTGCCTGGCCTGGGCCCTGGCACTGAACTGCCGGGCTCCTGTTGCTGCTCTGTGTGTGTGGTCGATCTTTTCTCCTCACATTTATGTCAGTCCTGGAAAGCAGACCTGCTAAGCCAGGAATCCTCTTCCACTTTGACAGCTGCCACCCTTGTCCAGGCTTGTGTGAGGCACCCAGCGGCAGCAACTCAAGCTCATGATGTCCAGCTTGGCACGTAACCTGTGCCAGGGCTGCCCTGCCCACCCAGTTTCCTAACACTCCTCCGCACAGGGTATCCTGGGTCCAGACCCTTCACCCCTCCCACCTGTCAGTTAAAATCCTCCTAGTCTCTGCTCAGAATTCCCAAGATGAGATTAAATCTCTCGCCCTTACCAGCTCCTGTGGAAACTCTTGTCACGAT